CCCCTATATAACCCCCGTTAAGGAGTTGAGTTTAGATTATAGCTCATATATCTTCCCCTATGTCAGCGGTTGGGACTACTATCCTAAACCCTCAACCCTAAACCCTAAACCCTCAATCCTAAACCCTAAACCCTAAACCAGCGGTTGGGACTACCATCCACTCTGACCTCTGCTTTGCAGAGCCAGGCTTTAATTGAGACGCAGGGATCAAAGATACAGGAGCCTGTAGGGAATCAGCACATACAGCCTCGATTTCAAGGTGGATACCAAAAATCCCCATGACCCTAAGTACCTTGTAATTGGAGAATAATTGTATTATAGTATATTAGGGTCATGCAGGATTCTTAGCATCAACAGTAGGACCCCTAAACCCTAACTCATTACTCTAGGGACCCAAACAGCCCAGTGTAGACATTATGTATAAGTTTTGGGGCTCAATGTTGGTGTTATGTATAGACTTAAGTCCCCAGGATTAGGTTAGGTTCCTACACCCTCGAGCCTAGCTTTAAAACAGCGGCTGATCTAAATCCTAAACCCCTAAAGCGCGCCTGGGGGTAGAATGGGCCTTTGGTTCGCTAGGAACGAAGAAATGGATCCTTATAGCAGTCCCTGTATAACCCATTACAGTAGTTTCCTTTTCGTTTTCCAGTCCTCCATTCCCAGCTAACCAAAGGTAACCTCTATATACCCCCAGGTTCCATGTCATTTTCCATGTTATTTTCCGTTTTATTCTCCATATTATTGGGGTAATACCCCTATATATCCGTATATACCCCACTACGCCCTAAACCCTAAACCCAAAACCCTAAACCCAAAAATAGCCCTCTTCCCAGCTAACCAGAAAAGCCATGGTAGTCTCCTACAGATGCTCCTGCAGATTTTGCCTATGAAGGGCGGATGGCGGACGGCAGGACTGGCAGCATGGGGGTTGCATGGTGTTATGTAGGGCTAGGTAGGGGAATGGAGAAGAAAATGGAAGCTAGTATCATGAAGAATCAAAGGGTCAAGAAAATACGGAATGGAAACAAGGCCTCAAAGTAAGTCTTCAATTTGTCCGCCGTCGTCCGCGCCGCAACTATGGGGAGTTCCCCGGATGATGTTCCCTTTTGAAGCAGCAGTTCTGGTAGTGGCTCAGCCGAGCAAGATTGGTGGCCCTGCCCTCGAATATGACGAGATCCAAGGCATTCAAGCCTACATGCCTCTTGGATAAGCTACGCTAAATCCTAAACCCTGAACCTAAGCCCTAAACCTTAAATAGTAGTTTCCATTTTCTTTGCCTTCATATCAATGTTACCCCAATATAGCCCACTAGACTACAGCCTGTTTTGAGGGCCTGGCACAGGTCTTCCGACTCTACAGAGTTGCATGCTTTTTTCTCGGAATCTCCCATGATCATGTAGTGGAGGTGGGCATGGCAGTGCTTGCCAGATCTGAATGCAACACCTGATATGAGTAGTGTTTCTTTGGTGGCTAAACACAGTAAGATTATATTCTCATATAAAATACTATACCCCAAAAGGAAGATATAATCTTACTTTATACTGGGTACCATCGAATCCCCAAATAAAATACTACTCATATGGTATTTAGCTGCTGGTTGGCGACGTCTCGCAATACCAGCCTACCTTTGCATGCCCACAAACACCAGCACTAAAAAGAATCCCCACAAACCCTAAGCAGCAAGAGCGCCTCCAACAGCCAGAGTCTTGCCATGCTAACTACTTAGGATTACTGCCCTGGGTGGAGGCTGCCAAGGGCTCAGACATATACTTTAGGTGGACCCCCCACCCTGTAATAGTGGTATAATAGGAATATGAGAGGACCCTAATATAGTTACTAGTATCCCATAGAGTCACTACTACAGCGTGGGGGGTTCTCCTAACATATACTATAATATGTACTGCTTCCACGTTCTCAACCTCTAGCTGTCTACTTGAAGGCTCATTGGTAGTTGCGGGCGCGGCTACGTGTCCACTGACTCAGGGCATGACTGTAGTGACACGAGTTATAACTCCTTCTTACAACTATCATGGGTCCCCTTGCTATGCCCTATAATTAGCCCTAATTTAAAGCCTCATTATCTGCAAATAACCTGGCTTTAGCTTTAGGGGAACCCAGGGGTGGGGGGATAGTAGGGGAAACCCTTGATTATAGCCACTCTAGAACCCCTACACCCTAAACCCTAACCCCGAAAACCCCTACACCCCAAAGCCTACACCCTAAAACTCCTTCACCCTAAGCCCTAAACTTTAAAGCTTTCCAAGTAAGGGTCTGAAGGCTGAAGGTTGAGGATTTCGGCCTTGAGAGTTCGACAACTTACAGATTTGGCTGCATAGACCCCAGAACCCTACACCCTAAATCCCTAAACCCAAAACCCTTAAACCTGAAATCCTAAACCTACTTCCTAAAACGGCAAGTTCCAAAAGCTCAGGTTTTCAGCTTTGGAGCACGGCATTTCCGCTTTGTAGACAGAGGCCTGTTGATACTAAGAACCTGCCTCGCCTTATGACTGATCGTAAACTCTCACATGAGCCATGTTTAGGGTTTGGGGTTTAGGTTATCCCCCTTAATAATGGAGAATCAAATGGAAAAGAAAATGGAAAATGAAATGGAAACTGGGATTACATAGGGGATGATAGGGGTTCTAGTCTAAACTCCTAGTATCCCCCTTAATAACCCCTACAGTATTCCCCATTATAATCCCCTTTATAACCCCTTTAAGGAGTTTAGGCTATGGCTCACATGGGTAAGGGTTTTTTGGGTGGTTAAACCCAGTAAGATTATATTCCTTATATAAAATACTATACCCCAAAAGGAGGATATAATCTTTCTCTATATTGGGTGCCATAATATCCCCAAATAAAATACTACTCACAATGGGGTTTAGGGTTCACCTCATTGCCCTCTGGGCCTTCAGTCACTGCTGCGGAACGAAGAGCCAAGATGCCACGGGAAAAATGAAGCCGGGGCCTGGGTTCTTGTTGTAATGCTGTTGATGGATGAAATCTTGCACCATCTAGGGGCCCAAAACTACTGCAATTCCTGGGACTTTAGGGACTTAAAGTGGTGCAAGATTTCCTCCATCAACAGTATTGAGAGCCTATAATGGGTTACATTGGGGTAGTATCGGGATAACAGAAAATAAAATGGAAACTACTACAACAGGTTAGGTAGGGTATGTATTGGGCTTATATTTTATATTGGGATAATGGAAATACACATTGAAAGCAACAAGCGGGGGCCCTAGTGACCCAGGCATAGGGATTACAAGGGCATGATGGGGCGGGTCCTTGTTGGGGTTACTGTAGGGGTTGTTCTGAGAAACTACCATCCATGCCCCTAGCTGCTGGGAACCATCATAAACAAAGTCTACACCCTAGACGAGCCGCCCATAAAGAACAAACATCTGAAAGCCACTTGGTGCCACCTCTGGCGTCGACAGAGGGGCCAAGCAACGTCTCCTTTGAACACGCTTGTGTAATTGGTAGTTTCTCAAAATAGGGGGACCCCAATATAGGCCCCAAAATACTATAGTCCTTATTATTGGGACCCCCAAAAGGGCACCCCTAATTTAGAGAAAGCCCCATATAACCCTATAACACCTATAAAACCCATTATAGTAGTTTCCATTTTCTTTTCCATTATCCCTATATAACCCCAATATAACCCATTTGCGGCCTGCCCAACCTCGGGGAGATGTCCTTTGTACACTTAGGTTTTGTACCCCTGGGTTTGGGTCCCTAAACCATGGAATGTGACCCTTAATACGGGTATTTGAGACCCGAAACCTAGGGTTACACTTAATACGGGTATTTGAGACCCGAAACCTAAGGTTACGAACCTTAAGGGTACAAACTAAAAGTCTTTGCCAACCAGCACCCCATTCATAAACCCTAAACATTCAGCGTGGGATTCCAATTTAGTTTAAGGTTCGGCCTAGACTGAAAGTTAAAAGGTGAAAAGCCTCAGCATGTGGTTTGAGGCTTGGGTAGGATGTAGAGTTTGGGGTTTAGGGTTGAACACTCCACCAGAGTCACCAAACTATCATGGAGCCTCAACAAACTACTAAGCCCTAGGACAGGGTACAGGGCACGCAAGGCGCTGCAAGATTTAGTAGATTCACAATAAACGGCTTGGGAAGAATGGGTTATGGGCCTTGTAACGCTTTGGACTTCATGTGTAAAAGTTCTGGGTGAGTAAGTCTGAGCTGGCGCCGTTGGCCTTGACAGCAGCAGAGGATGTCCAAGAGAGGGGGGGGGGGGAAGCGACGTCCGTCAGACAGGCAACATTTGGCAGCCGTTGAGATTTACAACTATGTCCGCATATTAGCTTTAATGTCACCACTGCACCCAAGTCCGAAGTGTAAAAATGTCGGCGGGCGCAGTAGGCTCAGAATCAAGCAGGGAATGTGCTCAGCCCCCATTGTTGTTCACCAAACGTTTGGCTTGGCCGTCTTCGCAAGAGCTCCAAGAGCGCAAGAACTTCGCCAAAGACGTGTTGAGTTAACGCATTTGACCGTCAAGCACACTTTCAACTTGATTCTGACTTCACCATGCCTGCCAACATTTTCTTCTTCTGGACTTGGACATAGTGTTAAGCCACTACCAGCAAGGAATGCGCCATCGCGAACATCAAGCATGCTAAGGCCCTGAAAACCACACATTCTCTGGCTAAACCCTTTTAACAAACTTCAAAATACCAACAATCCTCATAAACACATGCAGAAGACGAAGAACAAACATACTTGACAACTCCATAATAACCATCACTAAAAGTGATGCCGGTACAAAGCTTGTGGCTCATGCACTCTGGGCTAGTTTGCGTCATTTACTTCTGAAGGTTTACCTACATTCTCCTGGAACCCAAGAGCCAATGCAAAGGTCCTATAAAGCCCTATGCAGATCCATCTGCACAATCCTGTATGAATCCTTTGAAGCCCTAAAATCTAAGAGGCTAGGGCTTAGGCTTCAATCCAGCAACCAAGCAGCTGCTTGCATGAATCAGTGGCCGCCGCTCCTTGCATGCAGGGGGTGGGGGTGAACAAAGCTCTGGTGTTCCATGTGAAACGCAAAACTCTGGATCCATAGGTGAGGGGTCCTTCCTACAGGGATTCAAGGTAGGGGTACACCAAGGGCGAGAAGAATGCCAAGTTTCAGAAACTACCGCATAGAGGTAAGACGGGTCATCCGACTGGCAACATGAGTAACAATAAGCGCAGCTGCAAACCTAGTATAAGCAGGTTCTACCCGTGCACTTTGTAGTCCGAAGTACGCCGATAGTAGATATGCAGCACGTAGCGAGCCAGGAAGCCCAAGAAGTTGCTTTTTTGGTCCTCCAAGAGGTTCCCTCGCATGATGTTGAAATATGTGCTTTCGGTAGATGGCCGTCTAAACTGTTTAGCGATGTCCTCGACAAGAGGAGCACATGCCTTTGAGTGCACCAGATGACCACACCATAGAACCCCCACTATTCCTCCACAAACACTGCATCATCCTGACATATCTGTCTGAAGCCCGTAACACTACGGACCTCTCTAAGCCGGAACCCCCGAACCCTAGCTCTACGTCTATACCCATGAAACCCTTGAATCCTCACCTGTTGGGATTGCTTTGGCCTGTATAGTCTCAGAAACGGTTCTTTCCAAATGAAGTGGGCCCCCCTTACCCTGAACTCTGCCATCATCCTTGTTCCAGGGACCTCAAGAAAAGGTCCTTAACTTAGGGTTCAGGGTCTGAGGCTTAGGGTTGCAAAGTCCCAAATTCACTTCCGAGCATCTTTTCGGAGGGAGCATTAGGTCGTGCGCCCAGTCGCATGATCTGCTTATTTCCGAACCTTTGAGTTGGAGGCGGCTCTTCACAAAGTTGGGGCTACCTTTTTGGGGAGTTAGAGGATTATTAGGGTTATTATAACGTTTATATAGGGGTTATTATAGGGGTTATACAGGGGGATATAGGGTTTAGAACCACAAAATTAGGAGAACCTTTTTGGAGGTCCCTATACTAAGGCTTACAATACTTTAGGGTCTAGTAGGGTCCCCCTTATTTTGGGAAACTACCATTTTGGGGTGGGCGTTGTATCCGAGCAGTCTGGTTTTCCAAAGATACTGGTTTCGGGTTAGGGTTTAGGGCTACCCTAAACCCTAAACTACTACTACTGTAGGGTTGAGGGTCATACTCTTGACACCGGCAACGCGAATTTGAGGCCGCAATTTTCAGAAAAGCTGTATAGAGAGAGGTTGGTGCCTTCAAGTCATGACATAGGGATTGGGGCAGTAAACAACCCCTAAACTCCAAACCCTTAACGCGGCTGCCTAGTAAGCCCTAACCCCATCCCCAAATCCCTTAACTCTCAAGGTCTCAAACGTAAACCCTAAATCCCTAAACCCTAGACCCTCTCTATACGAACTCAGTGACTGGGGACTTCCTCACTGGTGGGGGATTGCATCCACATAACTTTTCCTATCACGAGACCAAATTCACTCCCCTAAGCTCCGGGAGGTTTAGCTATAATCACATGAGGATACAACTCTCAGGTTATGAATGGGCTTTGTGGCGGTGAGAGAGCTCAGGTATGCAAAGTGGCAAAAACCCATGCTATCCCAGAAAACTTTTTTAAGTTGATGGAACGGTAGCTTACTGCTCCCCTGCCTGAAGTTCATGCAACCTAAGCCCGAAGCCCTAGACACCAAATCCTAAGAGCATTAAATGGTAAGTGCTAAGCCCGAGACGGTAAACCCTAGGCCCACAAGCGTCGTGTTCATTGCTGACCCGAGAAGGCTTGCTATCTACGTGGCGAGTGGCTGCTCTCTAGTCCCTACATGAAAATACATTACCTATAACCCGGGAACCTGTCGCAAAGAATACTGAGCTACTAGGTATCTAGGGTGCGGGCCCTAAACCCTAAACCCTAAGGTTCTTGGGTTTGAGCTCAGGGCAGGGATCCTGGATTCGTAAGTTCCTCGGTATGGGGGACCCTATAAAGGAAGTCCTCTGAGCCACTTGGCTTCACGGTCCGACTGCAACGTTTAAGGCTTCAATGCTGGAGATCTTCCAATTGGGATGCAGACAGCCCAAAGCAGGTACTTTCTACTGACGTTAGCCCAAAATAGGTCTTAATTGCATACTTGGATCCCTATACAACCCCATATAAACCCAGTTTCCGTTTCATCTCCCATTTTCTTTTCCATTTCATTGATTCTCCATTACAAGTATTCTTTGTATACTTCCCTAAACCCTAAACCCCATGATTCACAGACATAGTCCCTTCAGGTTCAAAAGTACCCCTAAGCGCCCAAGTACCTAATAATCATATACTTACCCAGAACCTGTGCTATAATTACTATTACCCAAAACCCAAGTACCCCATTATTGGGTACTTGGACCCTCTGGGCACCCTAACTAAACCCTACACCCCCAAAACCCCAGTACCCAATTATTAGGTACATGGACCCTTAGGGTACATACACGTTTCTTCGGGAAGCTTTTGGCTTCATCATGTCTTTCCCTAAGGGTCTAAGGACCCAAATAATAGGGTTTTAGGGCTCAAATACTATAATATTACTGGTATTTGGGCCCTAAAACCCTATTATTTGGGTCCTTGGACCCTGAGGGTTTTTTACTTTCTGAGAAAGCCTCCACGAAGGGCCCGCGTCGACTGCAACGACCAAGCCAAGCAAAGGCTAGACATGTGCTTAAGCACGCCCCAAAGATCATAACATAATCTCTGCAACACCCCATAATTTTCTCCCCCAAGACCAACGAGAAAATCCGCTTTCTGAATGTCCGGGGACTATCGCAAAAATTGGCTTTTATTGGGGCGTTTGTACTGCGAGTACATTGCAGAATATGCTCGGAACATCCCTAGTGTTGAGGTTTTGGTTCACGCCTGGGCTTTCAATTTGAAGCACCATGGGACGCCATATTGCAGAATCTCCGAACTCAACTTTCTGGCTACCTGTAGGAAGTGGAAGACTGGATCTGCGTAGCAGCCCTCTATACTCCCATATCCTATAATTTAGTTGTTTCCATGGTCCTTTCCATTCTTTCATTGATATGATTGCCTCAATGCTGACTCCGAAGCCCTAATGTTGGATAGCGACTCTAGCGCGGTTCGGAATAAAGCGACTTTCTGCCAAACGGAATAATGAAGAGAGTACAGCATGGAACGAGCTGTTGTCCTGCACGGTAGAATAACAAGGCAGACATGGAATGATGGAATGCTCTGAACGGGAAACAGAACAGAAAAGAAA